GCAAAAAGGAAAGAGAGCAGTCCCAACACTCTGGTATGAGCAGATATTATTCATGGAGAAGACATGAATGCACCCTCAAGTGCAATCCAGAGCCACCTGAGAATACACGAACTCAGGCGATGCACAAAAACATATACACACAAAAATCTATCTGCTACAGAAATATACTGTTCAGAAACTCACAAAAAAGCTTGCCAATATCTCCAAATAAGTACAAACACAAAACCACGCAGCATAAACACAAATACACACTGAGGGAGGAAATACTGTAAGCAGAGAAATGTGTGAGAATGTGTAGAAACAGTCTGCAAGAGTTACTGTATGAGAGGATTACGGGCAGAGGCAGAGTGCAAGAATAATCAAAGGAAATATGGACCAAAGAGGCAAAAAGTGAGAAACGAAGAGAAATGTGCCTTAGTTGTTTTCCATTTAAACTTTTAAAATGCAGTGATGCAATTCTTTCATTTAATTTTCTGATATCTAAAATCCTGATTAAACAACTTCTGAGAATCTAAAAAACTAAAATGACTGATGTGTATGATGCAGGAGAACGATGGTGTGCTGGTAATTTACAGACTAACAGAACAACAACTTTAATTAAGCATAGAAATTAAATGAAACAAGGAATAATGATGCAGAAAGGTTGAACGACTTCTGAGGATTTACGGGACGGATTGTTACTACCATCAATGTTCTTCAAAGCCAAAGTGCTACCCAGTGAAACAAGATCGATCACAAAGAAACAGGGTTTTTCACACATCATGTCTTGTACTTTTTTTTCTTTAAAAACGGAAAGGATTTGAAATGTGCTTAATTTCCACATCGTTTTGCGTTCGTAAAATGAGCTCTCCTTTGTTTGCAGTGTTTTTCATAGAACCAAATTCTAGTCAGGGCCGAATTTTTGCACTTTGGTGTAAAAAGACTCCAAGGTTGAATGTAAAACACAAGTTGGATATAATGCAGAAAAGTAAGGTGATAGGGAAAAACAAGCATGTAAAATGTGAAAAATAGGGAGAAATAAAACGGTTAAAAGATAGAGGTTCAGGTCTTTAACTGTGATGACAGATAAAAAATGGGGAGGAAGTGAGTGGTGGGCGGGGAGACGACATGAAGTAACAGATAACACAAAGCAAACAATGAAAGTGACAGCTTTGCTCCAACTCTGACTCTGGCTGACTGTTGTTTCATTATAATCTCATAACTGTCACATCCTGGAGGGACAGAGAAGGAGAGGAGTAAAAGAAAGGGTGACAGAGGAAGGGGAAATTTATAAAAGGATCTACATGTGGCTCATCTAAGCGGTATTCAAACCAAAGGAGGCAAATAGAGACAAAGGCTTACAAAAAATAACTAAAAGTATCTGTTACAGATTTTATAAAATATCAAGATGCTTGATTACGCCTCTAAAAATGTGCAAGAACGTGAAATAAATTTACTATGTTGCAGTGGCATAATGTTAGAGAGAAAGGATTTCAAAAATAAACCTTTTTTTACCTATTTTATTTACTTGAACAGAAAAAATAGATTAATGATTGTTTATATACTAAAAACAAATGTGGCCATAAAATAGTAATGGAGAACAGGACCATCAACAAGCCGGAAACTGGAATGACATCACCTCAGGAATTACATCACTCCCCTTTCCCAGTTATAAGGTATACCAAATGCTCTAACAAAGAGCAATGTTGTTTAGAGCCTGGCCCAAAGGTGCATTGAGCAGGATGGTCGAGGTTACTGCCAGGGGGTGCAGGAAAGAGTTGCATATTAAGTGTACAAAGTGTCCTCAAAATCAATAAGATGCTCCAACTGTTAATGCTTTAAAATAAAGCTTTCCTGTCCTGTTATCACCAACATTAAGGCCTGAACACACTGGTTGCATATGACTTTTTAATCTCCCATGAGTTTTTTTTTCAATGTCACACTGATGCGTCTGTGGCACCCAAATTTCCCACATTTGCCCCGGACAGATTATGAAAGGTTCTATAAAGCAAAGTCAGATTTAATGAGTCTGTGCAGCATATCTCAAACCAGAACAGATAGAGAATGATTATATGCTATGCTTACATTAAAAACATAATGAGATCTACATCTAAAGAAAAGGAAAACACAGCAATAAACGTCATGCGATGGTTTATATGCTGACTGAGGCAGTGAGAGGTGATTCTCAGAGAGAGATCTGGAAACTTTGTCGAAGTTTTTCATTATTTTTGCACAAGTCTGTCCTGCTTACTATATACGTGATGTGCGACTCCCAAACTGATTATTTTGCAGATGCGATAAACAGATTTTATTTTGTTATTTTGTATTTTCCACCAAATTTACTTTGTAACCGAGTCTCCCTGTCAGACCATAAAATAGCCCCTAATGACTGGAAAAACTTGTGCTGAAGGATCTGTGGCATCCTCTGATTTTTATGTTTTTCTCATCCAACGTCCCAAAAAATGTGTTTATCTGTCATCAGAAACTATTGTAAACTGAGCTTTCCTAAGTTTTTAGCCTGTGTCCCATAAAGCAACCTGACCTGTGACTCCAGCTGGTGACATAGTTGAGTCATTTACCAAGAAATGTCAATCGGTATGATGACAGAACACACTTAACCAACAGCTAATTTATTCCCATCCTTATCTATTTATAAGTATTGTCTTGCTTTTCTCCTCACATTTCTAGAAAATATCTGCTGAAATCCTAGCAAAACGTCAAGGCACCACTAGTGATTTTATGAAACAAAACTGTTTCTAAATGGAACGTTTTTTTAAGGCTTTTTTAAACCAATCTTTACCTGAAGCGGCAACAAATTTGTCCACACCTGTGTTTCATCTGCGCTCTGCTTCACAGTCTTTTGTTATGTAGATATAAAATTATAGGCTTTGACAAAAACAGTGTATCTTTATCTGTTCCTATTCTTACTCGCTCTACTCACCTCATTTACACACTCTTCTAAAACACACACTTCTTTATTGAAACAACTCTTTATGTTCTCATCCATTCTGCCACTGACATTGGCACTCACGTAATGATCATTCAAACTCATTTATCATTCTCTCCCATTCTGATCACTAATTTATTCCCCTTCACGATGCTTTTCCTACTTTCTCACTTAATCAAACACTTTTTTTTCCTTGTTTAGTCATGCAAAGTGACACCAAAATGAATATTTATTAGCCAATATCGCCACATGTGAAGCTGCTATTAAAGAAAAACTGTGTTAATAGGATAGCACGTCAAACACATTCCCAAGCAACCTCTCCTCCACTGAACACTAACAGAACAATAATCAGATCTTCAGAGCAGGAATGTTGCACTCATTTCCTTTTCTGGAGCTTATTTGGTCTCTAGGCTTTGATGTCTGACAGTAGAGGGGCCTGTAAAGCATTAAGGTAGCTGTGTGTTGATGCTAAACCCAACACATGCAAAAGAAAGCTTCTTTAAAGGCACTTTAAGAAAGAAAGCTTTGATTTAAAAAAAAAAGGTCCTGTGTGGTGTCGATAGCATTTAATCAGCTTAAAACATAAATTCTGTTTTATTTTCAGTGCATGAAAAGATGGCTGTTCTACAAATCAGTGAAGTCATAAAGGCTACTGATCTCAAAAGGCTTTCTAAACTGTATCGCTCTACATTAAAATGGTTAATCAGAGATAACATTTCAGTCAGTATCTCACGAATAAAAACAGTTGATTCTATGAAATAAAAGGAAAATTCTTGCTTCTAAATAGAGTTCCCTTAATCACATAAAACAGTTGTGGGAATATGGGCTGTATTTTGCTCAGATCCTGTCAATCAATTATGTTTGCAGAGCAGTGAAATTGATCACCCCCACAGCCCCATTTATTTCACCAAAGAAATTGGAACTACATGTCCAAAATAAAAAACATTATTAACCACACAAATGAGTGTGTAAATATGATTACATATTCAAAATGTACAGCAGCTATAATCTGAGATCCCACACATTTGCAATATTTTCAAAATTTGCTTGCAGAACAAAAACCTCATCATGCTTCACACAGATTAACTGTCTTAACTGTCTTTCCACAAATAATAACTAGCATCATTCTTAATTCAATGCAAAACATTCTTTTCATTATTGGTAAACATTCAGCTTCAGTTAACCAAATTGAAGAAAACAAAGTAGCTTCCATTAACATAAGTCTAAAAGTAGTAAGGTACTCCATATACACCCCCTTCACCATTGTAGCATTCCTGATAAAAGTGTGTCAAAAAGGCTGACAATTAAATATTGTTTTTGGTAACTCTTGCCAACCTTCCGAAACTACCGTGCTAAAATCAATTTCTTAAAATCAATCCTTTTCCAGCCTTTTTGTCTCATTTATCATAATTTTAAATTCTCAATGCTGAAGTATATATGTATATCAGCAAGTTCAGTTGTTTATTTTTTTGTATTAAACATTGTAAAACATTGAAAAATGAATAAGAATATGTCTTGCTGGACTTCTTTCCCTTTCCAATTTCCGTATTTCTCTATTAGCCAGACAAATAAAGTTGTTTCAAAATCAAAAAAATCGCACAAAATCTGACCAGTTTAGGTTCAAATTAAAACTTTGTGTTAAGAAGTATTAGCGAGACTTATTTGAGAAGAAATAAACTTATCAAACATAATTTCTTTCCATTTCTGAATGAATGTAGTCATGCTAATGGTTTAATTTTTGTAAAAGATTTTTCCACCGCAATAAAATATACATTTAATTAACGTAAATTTACTGTTTTAATGTTCCTGGTATCTTGCATGTGGGTCAACAAAACCCACATCCACTTTCCATTACGTTTTAGAAATTCCACCACATGTTTTTTATAAATCCAATTTCTTCAAGAGAAAGCCTTGAAGAAAACTCTCATTCTCCAGCTTCAGAATCTATATTTTAACTGCGGTGCTTCACACCTTTTTTTTTTTTACTTGGATAAAGCTGTGGGGGAATCTAAATAACACACACACACAGAGTCCATTCCATATTTTCACACATTTTCCCGTCATGCTCTCTTACCTGTGACAGTGATCAGCATGGGAGCAACCAGGGGCCTGTTGTTATCCAGTTTTCGGCTCAGTCGGATCTCTCCGCTGGTGTGATTCAGAAGCAGAAGGTGAAGCTCATTGCCTCTGTCAGTGGTGTAGTACAGCCTGTCGGACACATCAGGGTCATGGGCCGGTACCCTGCCAATCACCCCGCTGGGAAAACTATTGGACCGGTTGGACACAAAGTTGTTGAAAATTATTTGAAAGTCCTGTAGGGTTGGCCGGTTGTCATTCTGGTCCACCAAGCGGATTCTGACGGTAGCCCTGCTAACTAGAGGTGCTGATGTGGCTTGGACTACAATTACATACTCATTTCGAGCCTCATAGTCAAGATCAATGAGGGAGGTGAGTTCTCCTGAAAAAATGTCCATTTGAAAGATCTCAGGGATATTGCCCTCAACAATTTGGTACATGATCTGCGCATTGGAACCCTCATCAGGGTCAGTGGCGGTGATCTGGGCTACCACAGATCCAACAGCACTGTTTTCCTTAACCAAAACTTCAAAGTCATCAGCAGGGAAGACAGGAGCATTGTCATTTACATCAAGAACTGTCACCTGGATGTGGACAGGGGTTCGTTGAGGGGGCACCCCACGATCTACTGCATAGGCTGTAAGCTCATAGAATGGAACACTCTCTCGATCCAAACGGCGAACAGTTCGTACGATGCCAGATGTGGGTTCGATGGTGAAATCTCCATCTCCATCCTCACCATTTTGGAAAGTGTACTGAACACGGCCATTAGCATGTGCGTCACGGTCAGTGGCCGAGATCTGTAGAACGCTAGTGAAGGGAGGAGCATCTTCAGTCACTGTCCCTTGATATCTAGGGCTGTGGAACTGTGGTGCATTGTCATTTACATCATTCACATTCACCTCAACATATGTTGTGTCCGATTTCTGTGGTATACCATTGTCTTTTGCTGTTATAGCTAAAGTGTAGGTCATTTGGTCCTCATAATCAAGCTCTGCCTGAAGTGTAATTGCTCCTGTGGCTGGATCAATGCGGAATTGGGGGATGTTGTCTTCAAGAAAGTATGTTATCCGAGCATTTTCTCCAACATCATCATCTGTGGCGCTAATGACAACCACTGTGCTTCCTGGTGGCCTGTCTTCATTTACACTAACAGAATAATGGGCGCTCTGAAAAACAGGTCGATGAGTGTTGGCATCAGTAATGTTTATGTGCACCTGGCAGGTGTCATAGAGGGTGCGGTCTGATGCAGTTACCGTTAGAACATAACGCCGCTCCTGCTTATAATCAAGTGGAAGAGCTAAGGAGAGAAGCCCTCCTCCTGATGCTGTACTGATAGCGAAGCGGTTTCTGGTGTTTCCCCCTGTAATTTGATAGGTCACTGCACTGTTTACATCTCTATCCACAGCCGTAACAAGAACTACAGTAGTACCAACGGCTGCATCTTCATTCAGGCGGGCATAGTACTCCTTTTGGAGAAACTCAGGGCGATTGTCATTAACATCCTTGACTGTGATGGTGACACTTGATGTAGCAGAAAGAGGTGGCATGCCATAATCTCTGGCTTCCACACCAAAGACGTAGTGTTCCACAGATTCCCTGTCAAGCATTGAGCTGACAGTGATCCAGCCTGTTGCAGAGTTGATAACAAAGGGTGTGTCAGAGCCAGTCCCTGTCAGCCTGTACTCCAGCCTGGCATTATCACCTGAATCTGTATCTATAGCCTGAACATGTAGGATTGAACTACCAACTGGGGCGCTCTCAAGTACAGAGGTTTGGAATGGTGTGGATACAAAGATAGGAGGGTTATCATTGACATCAGTAACCTGAACACTGACAATTCCAGTATTGTTAGAGAGAGGTGGTCGGCCATTGTCCTGGGCACGAACACGAAGTGTATACTCCCGCTCAGACTCATAGTCCAGAGGTGCTACCACCTGAATTTCACCTGTTACACTATCAATGGAAAACTGTCCACGGCTGTTACCACTGATAATGTTATAGTGAACAGCAGCATTGCTATCCTTATCTCTGTCTGTGGCACTCACACGCAGGATCTCTGAGTGAGGCCGAACATCCTCTTTCACTGCCACCACATATCGTTTTTCACTGAACTGTGGAACATTGTCATTTTCATCCAGTACGGTTATGAAAACCTTGACAGTGGAAAAGCGTGGACCTGGATCCTTCCCCTGGTCACTTGCTTCTACCTGAAGTGTGTAATCTTCATTTGTTTCCCTGTCCACAGATCCACGGGTTGTAATGAGTCCTGAACGTGGGTCAATCTCGAAGGCAGCTCGTGCTATTGCAGCAGATTCACCGATAAATCGGTAACGGATATTTGCATTGGATGGAGAGTCTGAGTCTGTGGCTCTCAATTGTAAAATTGGATAACCTTCTTCCACATTCTCCCTTATTGTCTCTCTGTATTCTGACTGCTCAAATATAGGAGAATGATCATTGCGGTCTGAAACTGAAATGGCTACCATTGTGGTTCCAGAGAGCCGAGGGGATCCATGATCAGTTGCTGTGACCCGAAAATAATGCAGATCCATATGTTCTCTGTCCAAAATCTGAGTGCTAGTGATAAGGCCTGTGTCTGGGTGGATGTGAAAGAAGTCAGATGATCGACTATTCATCAGTGGGCCCATTGAGTAGCTCACCCTACCGGCATCTCCTGCATCAGGGTCTGTGGCTGACATTATTATGACAGAGGTACCTGGCGGCTGGTTCTCTGCCACCTGTACTTGGTAGTTATACAGAGAGAAATGAGGGTGTCTATTGGCTGCACGTCTGGAACGAGACCATGGCATCAAAATCCTCCTCGCCTGTTCTCCCTGAGAGGTATCATCATCTTCCACTATTATCAGGCGTTCCAGGCTCCTCTCTCCCCTTGAAGTGTGTCTTTTCTCTGACTCAACCTCACCCCCCTCACTTTCCTGATGGCTTTCATCTGCTTGGCTTTCTCTCTTCCCTCTATTGCGATCAAACTGTGTGATGGTTGAGGTGCTGCTGCCCCTATTCTGACCCATCCCTCCCTTTTCCTCTTTTTCTTTCTGGCTAGCCTTTGTTAATCTTTTTACCCCCTCTTTCTCCCACTCCTCCTCTTCAGCACGTGGTTCCCTTCCACCCATCGGACGTGGGTCGCCCTCCCCCACCTGTAATTTTCCTCCCCAAGCAGCAGCAGCCACAGCAGCAGACCCCTCCAAGCCTTCTCCCTCCTTTTCAGAACCCCTCTGCCTTTCTTCTCCATTCCCCATCTGTGGCTTGTGTGACTGTCTGACACCTCCGGGCTCTAATGGCTCTTGATTACTGGATTTTAATTGCATAAGTGTGCCTCCACCTTGCTCAGTGACAGAGCAGTCACTAGAAAAGCTTTCAACACACCCGAGATCTGCTTGTTGCATGTCCCTGTGCCAAGATGATTTTTCCAAATCAGACTGATGACCAAACCCTTTACTCTTGCTGGTCTCTTTCTTTTCATTGTTGTTATTGCTGTTAGTGTTATATCTGCTCCACAAAAATGCATGCAAAGCTGTTGGTTCTGAAACCACCCCTTTTGCATTAGGGGAGTCAGGCTGGGGCTTATCCTGCTGTGTGGTCAGATTAATTTGGGAGAAAAATGAGACTGCTGTGTAATTAGGCTCCTTAAGGAGAAATTGGGGATTTTCAGCAACAGAGTAAGTTGTAACTGACACAGCACCAGGAAACTTGGTAGGCAAGAAAAAGCCTGAGTCACTAACAGGCTCAGCCCTTGGAGCTTCTTTAATTTTTGCAACACATACGTGAAGCTTTTCAGCAAATTTTATCCTCTTTGAATTATTATCTGCATCTGTCTGAACAAGCAGCATAATGGCTCTTTTGTTGGATAAAACCTGTCGGCCAAGCATCTCTGTGACACTGTTGAGTGCAAATTGGATGAGAAGATCCATCCGAGCCAGGCCTCCCTTGGGAGCCATAAAGAGAGGAGCCCCCATTTCTTTTCGGACCAAACAGCTAAAGCAATCACCAACAACCTCCTTCCTCTCTCCCTGGGTTTGACTGCTCTGCTGCATGGTTGCAGGCAGTAATTTCCCCCGCGTCACAAACGAAAAAACGAAATCATTATCCAGGTAATTAGACAAGTTAACGTATTTGTTGGCGTGGTCGACCCCTCCTCTTCTGAAATCATTTACATCACTACCATCACCCCTCCCTTCATCAGTGATTCTGGCATGCTTAGGTTTGGCAATCTCACAGCAAAAAAAGGAATTACGGAGGAAAGCCCCTCTGCACCCAGACACACTTCCATTATCACCCCTCTCTCTGCTGCTGTTTAGATTGGTAACATTGTACCTTCCCGAAGAAGAACAATTATCTGCCCTCCTGTCCACACAAGCTGAGCACCCACGTGAATCCCAAATCCTCTTGTTGCTGCTGTCCTGGTCAACTGGTTGCTGCTTGGTTTTATAAATCCAGCTGTTGCTGCAGGAAATAAAAGCCGATAACTGACTGATGTCTTCCAGTTTTGTTAGTCTGATACAGTCCAAAATGTTGCAAACTAGGTAACCTTGCCTGTTATCATGAGCGTCAGTATGAGGTAAACTGCATCCAGAAATAGGATGATTGCACCAGGAGGGAGCGGCTGGAAAGGAGCCAAGTGAAGGCGTGTTGGCTGGAAGGATGAATTGCTTGTTAGGGATTAGACAGTGGACGTGCCATGGAGCAGAGAGCCTCTTCACCTCGGGAGCCCCTCTGCTCACCTTTCCTCTCCTGTCGCCACTTCCGGGTGAGCTCAGCGGTCCGTGCACAAAGACTCTGTCAGCATCACGTTTGGCGAGGTGTGGCCTCTTCGCCGACCACCACTTTTGCACGCTTTTTTTAGTCCTTTGTATTGCCTTTTTCTTGCCGTTTTGAGCCGGCAAAGAGGTGAAAGCAGGTGAAGCGGGAGGGGAAACAACGCCCTTTCTCCCCATCCCGCCCCTATCCACACCCTCATGCGCGCCGACGCCATCGGAGTTAAAGATGCTCGTAGTGCAGGAGAGCAAAAGATGAAAAGGTGGTGATAAAGAAGCCCGAGGGTGCTGCAATCCTCTCAGTCTCCTCACATCCACTTGATCTGTTCCCAAAATCCATCCTTTGCGCTGCGCTCCGGTGCATCCCGTGTGTCCCCGCACTACAGTCCACCTGCTCCAGTGGGTGTCCCAGCTCCCCCTCGGTACTCCGCCTGCTTCCTTACACTGATGCTGCTGGCGGTGGTGGTTTACTTCACCGGCGTCTCGATCGCAGAGGGCAGGGGTCCATCTGCTGGGAGCCCCTCCTGTACTCACCGGAGTGAGGGCTAACAAAGGACCGAGGAGAAGCAGGTGGAGCGCCAGAGATGAGAGCAGGAGCGGGGTGAAGCCCGTGATAGGTGCAGCCATTTAGTCTCTTCCTTTCTCCGTATCTCTCCTCTCCCTTCTCCACCTCAGACTATCCTTCACCTTTCTCTCCAGAGTGCGTTTTCACTTCCCCTTCTCCACCTTACTTCTCTGCCCCCTCGTTCCGGTCCGGCTAGGTGGCCAGTTCCTGGACCGCCAGCACCACCCGACACCTTCCCCCAAGCTCCCCAGGCTCCCCCGTCTCTCTGCCGTCCTGGTGAGTTGGCATCTACCCGCTGTGGTCCGTGGAGCTGGAGGCGTGAGCGTTAGGATCGGCGCGGCGGCGGCGGCAGCATCTCTCCTCATTCACATCCAACATGGCTCACACACTCACGATGACTGGCGGGCTGAATCACACACTATCTCTGAGAGTGTGTGTGTGTGTAAGAGAGAGAGAGAGAGAGAGGTGGTATGAATGTGCAGCATCCATCCATGCGCACACACCATTACGCGCTCCTCCATCTCTCCTCCCCTCCCCCTTTTGCTTGCATCTCCACCCTCTCTCCTTTTTCTCTGTAAATGCGTGGCCCTGTAAGCAGGGATGTTACACAGCACCCGCGGCGGCCGCTATCCCCACAGCTGGAAGAGTAGGAGGAGGGAAACACATCCACATCCCTCACACAGTCATCACCTTATATGAAGCATGACCATTACAGATAGGCTAGCCATAGGCTGGGACTGTAAAGGGCAGCATGAAGAAGAGCTAAACTCACAGATATATTTCAGGATACTGAAGTGATGAGAGGGTATTCCCTGAAATATAAAGAAATTGTAAATCAAAGCAGATATTTTGGGCTGTTTTCTTTTGATTGTTCTCATTTTTATGCTCAGTAAAGGCACACCGTGAGTTCACCACGATTTATATCGGTTTAAATAATGTAGAAATGATGTAATCTGCTTATTATACTCATGACTAAGTCTTCCTCACACAGAGACCTAGGCTCTCAGATTTCCTCTGGGATTCATATATTTCCTGTGTGCTATACGATATCCAGCCAACAGTGCCACAATGTAATGAATCAATAATCTTATTTTTTAATCCTCGTAAAATTTCTATTTTAATCACTAATTCAATTTAAAAAGTGAATTTCATTTAGTGCTGTTTAAAAAAAACAACAAACAGCACTATATGAAAAGATGCCACAGAAGCCTCTATCTTGTTATCTTTCCGCTTATTTTCTAAGGTAACTTCTGTTTTTGCCTTTTGTGTCATACTTAAGATTACCAAGCACATTATTCTGCAGATATTAAAATGCAAAGGAAACTGAAAAAAATTAGAATCTTATTAAACATGAATTTTATTTCTTTAGGAGAAAAGAATCGAGACACTTCTCAGAAGAAGTTGGAAGTGAAAGACGCAAAACTAAAAGCGATTTTGAAATCCTTGAAAGGTTTGTAAAATAAATTAAGCAAAATGAAAAAATACACACTGATATATGGCCTAAAACTGTTTCATCCATTTTGTTTATTCACCTACTGGGAAGGACAATGGGCTTAGAAGAGAAAGGAAAGGGAGATTGCTTAGTTGCTCCAATTCCTTTTTTAAGACTGAAGCTAACTTCAGATTAATGGATAATTTTAGGTGCTGTCTCTTCCAAAAGCACTGATAAGCTTTATGGAGGTATTGATTTCTTTTTGCAGCATGAATTGGTGCCTACCAGTACTTCCAAAAGTACCAATACGTACTTCTGTGATAATAGTGTCATAGTGCTTAATTAACCAGATAATTCACCTGGCCTGAATCCTGCACCCTTACAGCTAGTACTTGGGACCAAAAACAAGACCACAAAATAAGTCAAGGCCACTATTGAAATTACCTTCTGCTAAACTTTGGCTGAACCAAAAGTTGATCTTCTACATGCTATGTTGAAGAAGAAGAGTAGATAATGCAAATATTGCATGACCAAGTACTGAGGGGAAATACTCTACAGTATGGGTCTTTAACTCTGATCCTCAAGACGTACTGACCTGCATGCTAGAGATGGTCTTCTGCTCCAGCTCACATGAATCAAATTAATACTTGATGTCTACTGAGGCCTGATAATAATCCATTTATGTAGAGGCAGAGAAATACCCAAAACATGCTGGGCAGTGGATCCTGAGGAACAGGAATGAAGATCCCTTCACTTTATGAACATCATTTTCAGCAGGCCAACATATCTGAATTAAGGCAAGTTTTTAATGGTCTTAAGTCATTTTCTAATTTGCTGTCAGTCAGATTAACCTTGTTGTGTCCTTTTGGCTGCTCCTTTACTTTATTGTTGCCACTGCAATTCATTATGACTTACTTATCCAACTTAGCAAAGTTTTTGTGCCAAATATTATTACATCTGCAACCAGGAAGACTAACCCAATTTAGGAAAACGAACACTTGAATTAACTCTATATATTATTAGAGATCATACATTGTATAAATCATAAATATGATTAAAATCAGACTATTTTCAATAGTTTCCAATAATAGATGCCACGTGGGCAAATTATTTAATATATAATTAATCAATATTGTAAGATATTTCAATTATTAAATATAATTTTTTACTATTAATAAATACTGTTACTGTTTCTGTACCTAAGTGGACTTGAGAACATATCTAGCTGCTAAAACCCTTATATCACCCAGGTCAGCCTACACAACAGACCAGTGACCTGACCACACAGCATTAGCTCCGCCCCCTGAAAAAAGCAATGGCTCAAAATGACTGATCAGTGATGTTTTCTCCTCCACACCATAGTAGCCATGATATAATAAAACCGTTTTTTTTTTGTTTTTTTTTTTTTTTTTTTTTTTTTTGGAAATAAAATCAGCTTTTTGGACATATTTAAATATGTGTATGCCTGATAAAATATCACTGTAATTAATTGATTATGGTTGTAGTTAATCTTATTTTTATGTATTTGCCTATTTGAAATTTTTTAGCAATCTGGAATCTCCATTATAGTGTGCCTCCAAAATGTAGAAAGGATTAGTAATGTGATAATTACAGGCACAGGCAGGCAATCCGACAATCATCCCAGTTTAACACTAATTTGCACACGGCTAAATGAGCAGATCAATTTCCTGATAGTTGTTGGGAAGGACTGCATAAAAATCGCGTTATGCAGATTTTTAATCCCTATATTTCCTCCAACATTCACTCGTAATCTTCCAATTCAATACCAATTTATGATGCTGTCTGGGTGGTAAACAGTTTCTAATGAAACGGCTCAAAATCAATGTAAGCTTTTTTTTTCATGGGTGAGGGGGGGAGGTAAGGATGGCATGGAGATGCCATCAGAGCCTGGAGGAACAGCCAAATCTGCGCCCACGGCTGGACAGCTATGTCTGGACATGCACGCGCACTTCCAATGTGCTATCTTGATTTCTGTCTGTGCGTTAAAGAGAAGTTGTGTGCATTTTCTAAATAGGCTCAGAGGTGTAGCCAGAAAATTTTTATAAGGGTGGCCAGGCACCACTGAACACTGAGGAGTAGGGGTGGGTATTGGCAAAGAAGTCACGATTCGATTCGAATCACGATTCACATGCCACAAATCGATTCTATCACAATGCATCACGATACTTGAAATATTGCGATGCATTGCGATATTTTCACTGAACACTGTAAGAAAAAGATACAGCCCTTACCAGTGGCTGACTGGCTGTGTGTGACCTGGATAGTGTCTTCAATTGATACATAACTGAAAGCAACTGAATTCATACATACTGTAGCTGTATATATTGAAAAGACTTTTGGAGGTGTTGCCAAGAAAACAAATACTGGACACAAATATTACTATTACTGGCGTGGACACACTGACAAAAAGATCTTAGGATTCATCAAACTTATAATAAGGATAAACAGTACCATTTACATGGCCTCAGTGGTCCTATTGCAAATTACGTGCATCATATCAATTTCATTTTTACCTTCTTTTTTTTTTAAAGCCAGAATGCATCAAAGTATCTGACTTGAAATGTGATGGAGCCGGGGGGCGAATTTTCTCAGTCTCCTCCATATTTTGTTCACAAATGACTCGTCTCAGTATCCCGCGGCCGGAAATGCTTGTGACACAAAGCAGCGGGCGTCAACACATCCGCAGCGACATCTGCTGGACTGGAAGTTGTATTCCCCCTGATTTGGCTGATGTGCGCCAACCATTAATGTATTTTATTTGTTCTTCCTTTTTTTTTTATAATCGATTCTTGCCTTCAAGAATCGATACAGTAGATCACAAAAATTAGAATCGCAATGCATTGATTTGGCGATTATTTTGCACACCCTTACGGAGGAGTGGCCAAAAGCAGATAGATGCCAGAACCTCTGGGTCAAGCCAAAGATAAGACTTACTATACTTTCCTACAGCCTTTGCTAAAAAAAAAAAAAATAGATGCATATATTTAAACATCCATGCTTTCTAGATAAAAGGTATGGTGGATAAAATTATTTCAGGTTTGAGTTCTGGGGCGAACATCTTTTCCATTGTCATTACTTACCTACTGTTATCAATAATCATTCTGCATAAAATTCATATTTACAAGTACTAATGTCTACATGAATTGATTATTTAATAAGTTTTTATTAAAATATTTATTTATTTAATTTCCTAATGAATGCAAAGACACATCATTTTCTCTTTACCCTATAAAACAAAAAATCTAGTTCTGAAAAGAGCATGAATTCTGTACTTATCATCTTTAATGTTAGTATATTGATGTGTATAATCAACCACAGTGTTTTGTTGTCAAGTAATTATGAATATATAAAAAGAAATAGTAAGTAATATATGAAAAATTAAAATGTTTTGAATATTCCACTTGAGAGTATTACTGCTGCCACCATCTGTATTAGAGGGGGGGAAATGGTAGGGGTAGCCACAGGAGTGGCCAATGATTGGCTAAGGGTGGCCATGGCCACCCCTGGCCCCCCATCTAGCTCCGCCCCTGAATAGGCTACTCTGTTAATTTCGATTTAAAAAAATAATTAAATATCAAAGGGAAACATCTCAGACTAAAACGGTCAAAAACATTTTCACAAGCATAAATGTTTAGTCTATTTTTATTTCCTTTGCAAAATCACTCCAGCTTTTTCAAGAAATTCAACAACCTGTACAAATGACAATTTTTAAAATATCCATAGCATAGCCTACCTCAGGAGTATTCATACTTTCCTCATCTTTTGACGTTTTTTTTACAAAACATAATCTTCAATATTTTTATTGGAATCAGAGATCCATCAAAACAAATGAGTGCAGCTCTGTGAAGCTGAAGGAAAATTAGACCTTGTATAAAGAGGACTTCTATAGATTTTTTATCGAGTCCTTTGAAGCAAGTCTTGTGTCGCATGTCATGTTAGTGCTGCACATTTAGAGACTGAAATTGCTCAGTTCTTCTTTCCAAAATAGC